AAGAAGGACAAGAAGGACAAGAAGAAGGACAAGAAGGACAAGAAGAAGGACAAGAAGAAGAAGAAGGAAAAGAAGAAGAAGGAAAAGGAAAAGGAAAAGTTATTGAACCAGACTTAATCAATGCGATATGTTTTTAGTTTTTAACAGTGTTCTCCGGTTCTCGTTCTAATGACAAGTCATAATTCTCAACAAGGGTTTTGACTTCCGCTGTCTTCATCAGTAACTTAGCAACGCCAGGATGTCGAGGGTAGCTATAGCCCTCAGCGGCAACCCGGTAACTGTACAAAACGTCTTGGAGCTCCGTTGACACGTCTGCGCATGCGTGGTTGGAACCGACTTCATCCTCCGAGTAAACACTTTGGATGTAGTTCATTTGACCCAAGACATCACCCAGGAAATGAAGAGAGTTGGTGTTGTTTTTGCACGCCAGTCGGTGTCTGTAGTAAAGAGCATAATCATCTGATGATGACGTCAGGATGATTAGATGACGTAACATACTGGAGAAGAAAATGAGGCTTTAGAAGTAAGTAATAGAAATATAGTACAATAGAAACAGATAAACAAACCAAGTGAATAATATGTTCAAAAACCAGTACATTTATATGGAATCCGAGAACGATGTCCGAAATTTTTGGTGACCGTAACACAATCAAATACAATTTATACCACGTGATAACTAGCGCGAAAAGGTGAGTTATATATAATCAGTATAACTTATTTGTAAAGGTTATTGTAGTGTACCTTTTACTTTTGTGTTTCAATTTTTTCCAAGTGTGTTGTAATCTGTAGACAGGAGGGGATCGTAGTGACGTCACAAGGGCCTTGGTGGCGTTGTAGTTGTGTATCTCTGCACAGCGGTCAGCCATCTGAGAAAAACAAAACAAAAAATAAATCATTTACCATATCGTTTTTTCTCGAGCAGCGCTATTTATGGCCAAAGAAACTATTCTCAAGGGATTGACACGAGAATTGATATGAGAAAACATTACACTCAATGTGAATGAATATACTGGACATTTTAGAAGAGGAATCTAGTAGAAGGGTTACATTGCCTTGGCTTCCATTATACAAAACACACAAATAATACTCAAAGGATTGACTCAGTGTTTGATATGAAGAAAATTTACTTCCAATGTGAATGAGACTTTGGGACGTCGACATACGACATAAATCTAGTTGCTAAAAAAAGGTACTCAAGGGTTTGCCAAGAGGTTGGCTCATGCAATCCATATTCGACCAAAGACTCAACTTCTAAGCCAGTCTAGTAATGGTATGCCACCAGATTTACGTTTTTTTCAATTGCAGCCCGTAATAAGAAACAGCATCATTTTAAAAAGGATCGCTAAAGGTTTTGTTGCATTATGCATACCAAGCCCGAAAAGCACTATGGAGCTATATGTATTCAATCAGTTTAACAATTAAACAATATTGAATGCTCCCAAGCTTAATTGTTGATAGTTTTTCTTCGATGCTGACATTTTTACAATTGAATGTAAAACATTTCAAATGCAACACGCAACGTGCAACGTGCAACGTGCAGCATGCAACATACTACAGGCAACATGCAGCATAGCTTCTTTCTCCGCTTGCAATTGAATGTAAAACATTTCAAATGCAACATGCAACATGTTATTCGTATAAATGGTGTAATGAACTCTCATTGTATAGCTTACCTCGATCACTTTAGCTATAACACGAGCCCGTTGTCCCGGTCGTTCATGGGCGAGTATTTCTGTGGTTACTATAGCAACCATGCGTGAGTAGAACTCGGCCATTGCTGAGACGTTTGGAGAGCAAGTCCCCTGTGAACATGAAAACAAATTTATTACTAAATTATAATAAAATAGAAAACGTTTGGTGTTGTATTATAAACAAGAAATCGTACAATGTTCTCGAACGATTCGGAATTTATAGAAACCCGTAATGTTAAAAGGCTCGTCCAATCTTGAAAATTTTCAAAACATCACTCGTACCTATAAATTCACCTTTTGAGCGGACACCAAAAAGTTCGGACATCGTTCTCGGATTCCCATTCACTGAATTTAAAAAGAAAATTCAGATCAATTTCATTAGTTACTTTTCTAAACAGCAGTAAAAAAAGCTTCAATCAAATCAGAAAAATATTTTCTTGTATTTAGAGAGCTAACTAAACAAACCGAGTAAATAATTTGTTTAAGAGTCGGTACATTCGTACAGAAATCCAAGAACAATGTCCGAACTTCTTGGGCACAATCCAACACCATGTGATGGTTAGCTAGCGCTCGAAAGGTGAAATCCGAATTGCACTCGAGATCGTGCTGCACTGATTTCCTATTCAAATAACCTAAAGTATCAAATATCGAAGGATATATATTTCTACTCGCTCCATGCTGTTTTCTGTGTGAATATTTGTACTCTACTGTGAGTAATGTTGAACCATAGCATATGTTCAGATTTTTTCTCACATCAGAAGGGAATAATCTTGTTTTGACCTTCATAGGTTAGATAATAAATCAAGTTTTCCAAATCAACACTGAAATATTAAATAATACACTTACTCTTTCTTGCGACTTCCATCTTTGGTCTAGGATCTCGTCCAGTCCTATTTTACCAAACATTTCTTTCTCAATCATTGTAATTTCTTCTGCAAATACTTTAGGGTCGATATCGGTAAGGTTGATAGGAACCTGGTCATGGTTTTCAGCGCTAGTGACTGGTACCACTAGTATATTCTTCTTCCTGGCACCAAACAGTCTTTGGAATCCTTGTCGCAATCTCTCTTTTAGCGATGGTCTTGTGCTGTTTTCTCGTGTTGCCCCAGTTAGATTTTCACCAGCACTAGCGTCATTTGTATTCCGTGTACCTGGGTTATTGCTGGTTGCATTAAAAAGCTCGTAGCGTAACTTGTTTGCGTTTGGGATGAAAGATGGTACTGCGCTTGGACCAGGGATTTGCACGTTTGTTGGTAATGGTTCTGAACCACTATTAACATGAGATTCAATATAATTGTTAGAATCTTTTGCACCAGGTGTGCTGTCCAGTCCTAGTGTTTCAGGGATCGTTACGGTATCTAGTTCCTGGTCATTCTTTACCACTGACTGACCTGCCTCACTGCCATCCACTACAGCATCATGAAGATCATGTTTCTGGGCTGCACCAGGTGATATACTGTCTGGCCCCAGTTTTCCGGGAATTGTAACGGTATCCAGTTCATGGTCATTCTTTACCACTGACTGACTCGCCTCACTTTCAGCCACTGCAACATCATGTTCCTGGACTGCACCAGGTGATATGCTGTCTAGCTCTTGTTCCTGCCTACCCATCTCAGACACTCCCCTTCCGTACAAGGCCACACAACAATCAATAGCTCCTTGTAAAAAGTTGCCTCTGAACTCTGTCAGATCTCCCAAATTATATTGCCCTAGAAAAATAAAGTAATGTGGCATGTCAGTAGACGAAAAGAGAATGCAGCGTACTTTGGTTTAAATAAATGCATCCTAAAAAACACCTTTAGCCTAATTTTTGATAAGGAATATTGCCCTTTGAAAATAGACCTCCTCTGGTCCGGCGTAATGTTTTCCCATTTCATAACAAGTGTCATTCCTTTGATTATAAGATGTTTTTGTTGCATGTATCCATATTCGTGTGTCTTCTCATGTGCAACCGCTAAACAAAGAAATGGTACTCTAGGGAATGACACGTGTCTGAAATGAGAAAACATTACGCCCAGGCCGGGGAGGTCTATAATGTGTCATAGTAGACAGAAATGTATATATATTGGAGCGTTCTTCGACTTAAGGTGGATCATAATACTTCGATTAACGTATGTAAAACTGTTAAAATTATAAAACTTAAAAAAAACCTTTTATATGCATAGTGTTATCATCCAAATACCTTTGAGGATCGCCAACTTTCTTTTACCAGCAAAATGATTCGTTTTTCTGGTGGAAATATCGTAATTTTTAGCGGCGTCTTTTATCGTCAAGATAAAGAAATAAAACTCTTGGATCTTCATACTCAAAAGACAAATTAACCATGTGACTCTGGCTTCTCCAATCAGCTGGTTACTTCTGATCCACGTGATCTCTGACATTGTCTGTGGAAGTCTTGGAAGACATGTCGTAATGACTGACAATTCTTGTTTACTTGTCGTTTGCTGTTGAGGTTTTTGTACCATGACCTTCAAAATGCTGCTTTTATCTCCACTACGCAAATATACATAGATAATCATCTTATTGGGCTGATAAAAGGTTATTTGATCGAAGGATAGAATTATACAATACAGTTTTCAACAGCGTTATTCCTTTTTTCGTCTTTCGTCTAGTTTCATGAAATTTTTTTCATGTAATTAAAAATTACCCTAGTGGTGTCATAAAAAGCGCGCGCTTTCACAATGCTGTGACGTCATTTGAAGAATATACACAGGAAGCCCAATTCGCGCGCGCTTGTTGAAATATCAGGGAAATTAGTAAGTAGATGTTTACGAAACCCTTTAACAACTCAGCATTTTACTATCTGAAGCACTACATCATTGATCAGTACTTAAGGTGGCTGACTACTTTTGACCGTTCGGTTTTGAGCCCACGATGTACGCGCGCTCAAAAACCTAAATAATCTTCACGATTTTATTGAAGAACCATACGCATTTTGAACCTCAAGAGGGCAAAACCCTCAAACTTTGCACGGGATCAATATATGACACTTATTCGAAAAAACTCCCAAAAATCTAGGTTATATCATTTTTATAGAACTGATGTTGATTTTTCTAAAAATAAATATTTGTAGGGATTTTTGTTCGACTTTATGAGAGCATGTGAGAGCACTGAAAGGAGAAAATGTGACAAATCAATGTGTTTCTTTGTCGTTTTGTCAAAAACATCCACGCATTATTGTAGAGTAATACACTAGCCGTCATTCGTGAAATCTTAGAGTCCGCAAAGAACTATTATGTTATGAATCTTAATTTGTTTTCAGATCACTTCCGGTGGCGCAAATTTTGCTCCAAAAACTCGAGCATAGGCATCCATTAAATGCTGCATAAAATCTCGAAAACAAACTTGTGACATCCCATTTTTCTTTTCATATTTGTAATCTACATTAAATTTCAGGTTAAGAAATTTTCGATCTTCTTTTTATTTTTTTTCCAAAGTAGTCAGTCACCTTAATTAATATTTCGTTGAGATATATTTTAGATATCAAAGTTTTATTCGTGGACACATGAGGATATTTATGCTACAATTCTTGCTAAATAGAACGTGGCCATTTGTTATCATTCTGTAAATTGACATAATTCCTGGGGTAAAGTTGAATTCATGGGGGGGGGGGGGGGGGGGGRGGGGGAGGGAACCTGTGGAATCCGTTCTATTTAATTTTCACCCCAAAAGCAGCCATGAAACGATTACGCGCGGAATGTTATCATGACTTTCTGGGTGTGATTCCTAGGTGAGAAGCATTATGAATGCCCCCGGGTCGGCAATTGCCTATTTAAGCGAGAAAATCCAAGGTTTCGACCTCATTTGCTCAGGTTCGCTGTACCAGTCAGTGCTAGACGGATTTTTGACCCCACCCACCTCCCCTTCGGCGACGCTTCTCCATTATAACAGTTCAGTCCGGTAGTTTAATCACAGCCTCGGCAAAACTCGTGTTCCCAAAACTTAACCGCGCGCATGAGGGGAATGGCTGCTTTGGCGGTGAAAATGATATACTATCTACATCTAATTGAAAATAAAATAAATATAAGATATACTTCGTGCATAATATATATATACCCAGGATTTAATATTTCCCACTATATTATTTATACACATACTTAACATTTAGTTGCTCTATACATTTATATATATTCATACTTATTTGGGACCAAGTTTATGTACCGATCAGTGCAATGCTCCCGATAAAATCTCTCGGTCTGTTTATCTGTCGAAAAAACGTCCGACGTTGACTGAACAATAGAGTTCTTGAAACGGTAACATTGAGAATTTTTACTGAGCGAATGTGCTCAGAAAAATTATGATCGTCTGAGCGAATTGTTAATGTTCAACGAGGCTGCCCAGTGGTGTTCCATCGATGAAGGGGGATCGTAACCGAGTAGGCTTTAAACCGATCCGACGACGAGAACGAGTAGGAGTTTTTAACTTTTCAAAGATTGGCAGGCTATCATTTCGTTGTCGTGGTCGTGTACGATTGTACGATTGATCTCCTCGTCGGTCTGAAGGTCCATGATGTCTGTTAGGGTGGGCTTATGACCCGGGTTCTACGGCATTGACATTTGACGATCTTCTGAACCGTTTTTGGAAAGCTGAGACGACATGTTTTCTGAATTCTTTGTTCGAAATCCCATATATCCAGGGATTCGTTGCGCTGTTCATATAGGTGAGTATGACGACCACGTACAGTACGAACCCTGGTAACTCGAACAGGGAGGCAAAGAGAAGAACCGTAAAAAATGGCGTCATACAACAAACGAACGAACCAATTAGAACCAAGAACGTACGAAAGGTCTTAATGGCGGATCTTGAAGTCAGGTTACCTTTCATTTGTTTAGCTCTGCGTCGTGTTGTTTGCGTAGTATCGGAAGCCGTAACGAACGTCAATGATACGATTTGTGCTTGGATTTTGCTTGTTTGGCGTGTAGTGATGACCCAGAGCTTAGCGTTCACGAAAACGATCGTTATAATAGGAATCAAATAAATGAGGACAAAACTATACATCACAAAGCTGAACGGAAGTCCCTGTATTTCGCAAAGCTTTCGGGTCTTGGAGGTTTTTAGTCCGTAAAAATTAATAAAAGAAGCGGTAAGCGAGAATGCCCATGCACCAGTGATCATCCTAATAACACATTGTGTGCTCATGCGTGATGCGTAAAGCAAGGGTGTTGTCACTGCTATGTAACGATCCCACGTGACTGCACACAAATTGAAAATGGACGCGGAAATGAACCAGAAGTTGGCGAGAATCCAAATATCACAGGCGGTCACACCGAAGATCCATCGTCCTGGAAACAATACAAAAATGTAAATAATTTACTGCGATTAAATGTAGGGCTTAAACAACCAACCAACCAATTCAACCAACCAACCAATTCAACCAACCAACTAAAACTAACTAACTAACTAACTAAATAACTAAAATTACCAATTTTCCCCTCGTACGAGTTAAAAGGTGAAGTCCAATTAGCATATTTTAGACCACTGTGTTGATTAGAAAATTAAAGGAAGTTTCCTCATATGTTAAAATAACAGAAATTTAATTTTGACTTAATTTCCTTTATGAGCAGATTCTAGTGAAAAAAGTTTAATCTCTTGCTCATTTTCGGCTTTGATTTCTGTTTTAAATCTTCAAGAGGAAACAATACTTTTTACTTAAAGCATATATTATTATATATTTTTTATCTATTCTAGTGAAGATATAGAGGGTATTACATGGGCACGCGGAGATACGAATTTTATCTTCGAGTGTTGAAAAGATCTCAAGAGATTTTCAACACGAGAAGATAAAATTCCTATCTCCAAGCGGCCATGTAATATTCTGTCTATTATATAATTATCAATGAAGTATGTTTTGGCTTTTTCAGGCAATTCTTTCCATGTATTTTTGAATAGCAATTGCAATGGTGTTATTTTCACACGTGAAAATAATATGTTATTTTCACATGTGAAGATATCAATTTTTCGAAATAGAGAAAAATAGATATTTCATTGGTAATTATATAATAAAAATAGATATTTTATTGGTAATTATATAATAAATATTATTTTTAATATCCCTGAAGTTAAGACTTACCATTCATTTCGAAAGTTAGATTATAAGCCAGAGAGATAGGAATAGCAAAGATTCCAACTCCCAGATCCGAGACAGCCAAACTAGCTACAAAATAATATGCTGCAAAGTGCAGCCGTCTTGTCGTAAAGATGGTAAAACAGATGACCAAGCTACCTATTATGGACGACAGCATAAGGAATAGCAGAAGTAGAGAGATGCATATGACTTTTGGTCGCTCGAGTACTTGGAAAATTGTCGAACTGTTAAACGTCCTGCTATTTGTGCTCGACAAGTTGCTTGATGAACTTGAGGGGAAAAAATCTGTCATACTGGGATGCCTTTGGGAAGGTTTTTTGGGCTAAATTCAATAACGATCATCGAGCTATCTTTGCTCAAAAAAGGAACAAATAAGACTGACCCGAACGCTTGTCTAGCAGTGATTGATGTTGCTAAGCTAAGTGATGAATTTTCAAGTATATATAAATAATTTTAACTAAAGCACCTCCAACACACTTGACACCGTCCAAACCGTTGTTCAAAACAAGTGTAGCTTAATAAGTGGTCCTTCAGCTTCACCTGAATTCTCGTTACGATGTGGAAGGTAATCGCTCACCTTGTGTTGACGAGGATATACAAAACAAAATACCAGATAAAAAAACAAGATTAATTATCTGTACATCCAGAGAATTCAAACAAGAGTTTTCGTGTAATTTGCCAACCCACACACGCGGCAATTTTTTTGATTGAAAATCTTCTTTTAATCTGTTAAAATAAATATCTACTTGAGTGAACCAAAACTGATAACCAGAACAGCTAGCTTTTTTCTTTGAATTTTTGGTCAAAATGCTCCAAATAAAATCATTTGAATTTTCTGAGTCATGATATGAATTTGCACAAATGAAAAAAAAAAATGGAATGAAATTTGAATCAATTGTTTTCAAATATTCAATATATATTTTTTCAAATATTCGCTATCTTAGCAAGTAGTTTATTTTCACTGAGTTTTCGCAATGGGATATTAATTTTAGCAGCGTAGCGAGTGGACCAAGGGTATGTTTATTTTTTGTTGGTTGGTTTCCAACTGGATTCTATTTTTGAACCCAAGGACGTGTGTGTTTCTAAGAGTCATAACTTTGATAGAGAACTAGTTAGCCTCTGGGCTCATCAAAGTCAGGGCATGACTAACTAATTTACAGTTAAAACCCTAAAACAAGCTCTGGCCCGCTGATCGAAGTCAGAGCACGGCTAACTCGCAGATCGATCCCCCGAAACAACCTCTGCGCTGCTCAAAGTTCAGGGGCGGATCCAGGATTTTGTTCAGGGAGGGGTGCTGCGCACCAATTTAACCCAGGGAGGGGTGCATCCTTTAGAATCAAAGGGAAAAAACAGTATTGGTTATCTTTGTTGGGGCACAAAGTCGAACCAGGGAAGGGTGCGCACCCCCTGCACCCTGAACAAAATTGCTACACTATTGTTTATTTATAATTAAAGCCTGAAAAGCTCTTGGACCCACGACTTCATGTACGTGAGAGGCGCATACTAGCTGTGCCAAGCGGTACAAGTTATTTAATTTCCCCAATTATTTATATAATATGAACGAACTACTGTTATGATAGTTTTAGGTCTTTATGGGAGATTTCAAGCTTTTGTTTCTCGAGCTTACGAAATTTTATGTGTGAGGGGGCTAAGCTAGGTGATTTTACACATTTTTCGGTGATCTCACTCAAACTCTTCAAAGCTCTTAGAAAACGTGCTGAAATACACACATGCGCAAACGTTTTTCTCTAAGTGTCGCGAACGGAAGAGTACTGAAAAAACTTAGGAGCTCTTGATACGAGAACGTATAAGTGTTCATAGAACATTGAATGTAGTTTGAAGTGTGTCAGTGTGAATGAAAAAAGTTCCTCAATTAGTGTAAAAGCGCTAGAACTACGCTAAATTTGCATGCAGTGACTTTCCCCCGTATTTTACATGACTTTCTGTTAAAACATTAATTAATTACATAATTAATTCAAGCTGTCCATCTTTGTAGAAGAAATGCTGAGAAAATTCTAATTCTTTGTGCATGAAATTTCAGTTTTCGTTTCACCAATTTAGTTAATCCTCGGGACGTTGTGAACTAGGCGGGCAGCTTTCTTGTACAGAAAGTCCTAAAGAAACTCTAGTGGAATGTGGAATGGGAGGGGGGGCTATGGTGGTTTGCAGTGGTGCAGTGGGACCAGCCAACTTCCAGTTACAATGGAGGGGGAGGCGTGATCATGAGATCACTGAAAAATGTGTTAAGTTCAACGGGGGCCACCTAAAAATATATGATTTAAAGATGTAAAATTTAAATTTATTAGCACTTTCTCTAAATATTCCATTTTTTTACTTCCAGTTATTTATCTACAACACCATTCTGTTCATAATGATTAAAATACGATGTAGACTGACCCCGGCTATGCGCCTTTTATTCCAATTTTATCATTGATAAATATTACAAACTTTTAAATAATTTATTAAAATACATAACCATCGATGGAACACCTAGTATTTTTTTAAATTAACATTTTATTATTCTGGAATCAAAGGATATCGCACGCGCCGACTGGCTGTTTGGTTTTTTCTCAAGAATTTAAAAAGTTATATCCTCCCATTGATCCTGACATGGCCAAACAGAAGAATGATAATGAAGTGGAATTTTTGTCAAGGTTGCTAACAAAAGGTCATCTTGAAAGGTAGCTGTGCCTTTGCATCGAAGCGAGACGAACGGTGAGCTTGTAATGATGGGTACCTTTTTAACACCTTGGACAATTATTCACATGTCTCTGTCATTATAAGCTCACCGTTCGTCTAGCTTCTTCGATGCAAAGGCACGGCTACCTTTCAAGATGGCGCAGGGAACTGTGAAGGGCACTATTGAACTTCATGAAACTAATTACAGCATATCAAATTTTAATGGCAACATCCCAAGACTTTGTTGCCGATATTAATTTTTTAGTAAGAATATTCCTGTTTTGGTTTTGTCAATTTTGTTGGCCACCAACTTTCTGAAAATGTTTTGTGGCTCAAAACAGAAAAAAAAAATTATGTTTTCATCATAAAGATATTTGTTGAGAATCAAATGACTAGAATATTCTATAAAATACTATAATCTCCACATGGCCATGTCTTATTGTCTTATCTGTTTTATCTTTTATCCAGTCGAAATCATCCTTTGCAAGCAACGATTATCACTAATCTCCTACGCCCGCACTATCATTGCGTCACGCAACGCTTATGAGTGAGCGTTGCGTGACGGCACTAATAGCGGCTGCGTAGGAGACTAGCTTTTGTCGCGATAGTGTAATTATAGCTGTTCTATTTCTTGAAATCACCTTTCATTTCCTTAATTTGTTTCAATTCCTCTTTACTTTTCTTGTTCATGACATGAGGTAGCTGGATCACACAGCCTCTGTCTTCAAATGCGTCGCAGTAGCCTAACATGTACTTCACACATTCTAGGAGTTCGTCGTCCTCGAAGCATGGTTTGTAGTGGCAGGGGCTTTTGGGGTTAAAGCGATCGAAGTCACAACCTCGGGTGGGGGTAATTTTGGCATCGATACTATCACCTTGTTTGATTTGGACGTTTTCTCCGGCTTCCATCGCCTGGGCAGTAAAAGGAAAATTATATTAGATAAAAAAATAAACCAACTATAGCTAAAGAAAGGGAGCCAACAAGCCAACAAGCCAGCAAGCCAGCAAGCCAGCAAGCCAGAAAATTGGCAAGGAAAAAACTAAGCAATATAGCAAGAAATGAAGGAAGCAAGGAAGCATGAGCAAGGAAGGAAGGAAGCAAGAAAGCAAGGAAGCAAGAAAGCAAGCGAGCAAGGGAGCAAGGAAGCAAGCGAGCAAAGGAGCAAGGAAGCAAGGAAGAAAGGAAACAAGCAAGCAAGCGAGGGAGCAAAGTAGGATATTCCAGCGGTCCTTCTGCGCAAGCGCACGTGGGCTTATATAAGCTGTTAAATAGCAGTCACTGACTTAACAACGATGCTCTTATTAATACTATACTAACCTCTTCTAGGTCTCCACCATCCCCACGAGTCACGGGAGCATCAGGTATCTTATCCGTTTCAAAATGATAGTCCTTCATGAAAGATTCTTGGCTCTTGCATTTTATTCTTGGTATGCCTCCAGACACATCTTGAACCCATTGCTCGTAATCTTCTAGGGCTTTGGCATAGGAGTACTTTCTGTGCGGGTCATCTGTTAGTATAAGGGAAAATATATAAAAATATGCAGGCTTACGGTGCTTACGCTCATTGAGAGGTAGTTAGCACTGAGGATGGTCACTGTTAGGGTTTCTTTACGTCCTCAATGGTTCTTTTAGTCCCTCCCCCCTCTTGCATGATAAAAAGTGGAAAGACACCATTTAAAATGATCACCTAAGTTACTTAGCTAAACCAACTGAGCAAACGACCGTTGAAATTCATCTTCATTTATGGTTAGCGTGTGGTGATAATACATGCGCTGCATGCCTAACTTTCCCATGGTCATGGGCTGACTGAGTTCGATCCCTAGACTCGCTATCACATGTGAGTAGAGTTGTTTGTTGGATCTCTGCTGTGCTTCAAGGCTCTTCTTCAGGCTCCTCAAGTTTCCTCCCGCCTCAAAAATCAACATTCAAGTTTCAATTCCGTCATGGAAAGAGGTCCACAGAATGACAAGAGATGTAAGAATGAGAAAACATTTCGTAAAAAAGAAAATACGACACGTAAACTATAGTTTTTCTAGTACTTAGAAAGTATAAATAATAATAATTTACCCTTTATATGTTCTTTCGCTTTGTTTGGGATTGACGTCCGTCCTTGTTCCCGCCAAAAGGGTTTTGACTTCCACCATAAGGCAATGGCTTGCTGTCGTTCAGATCTGGAATAATATGAAAATTTCTTAAGTGAATAAGAAGGACAATGAAACCGTGTGACAAAGTTTCCATCCCGACGGATTACCTTTTAAACGTCATCACAGTTGAAACACTTTTACATGGTGTTTGAAGTTTCTTTTATATTCACTTGCCGTATTCAATACACCCACCCGCGACAACGGTACAAACAACGTAGATTAACAACAACAACAACAACAACAACAATACAAATGACAACATTTATTACAATATCATCAGTAATTAACCCAAAAAGCGGCATCAACGATGGAAGAATTTACGGTGGCACTGACAAAAAATCTGACATCCTCTCTCGCGATTATGCACACAAAATTGGCCCCTCCGTCGAATGGCACAACAGTGCTGTGGGAGTCGCTGTGCGACTCGGATTTTTTCGTGTGCCTGGTTTTTTAAAGTGACTCCCCTTCCCTCCATTTAAAAAAAATTGAACAAACGAAGACGACGGCAAACTTTAGAGGGACCACTTTAGAGACATAAGATAAAAATTCACCACGCGATCGTGACAGTTTTACTCGTCTGCTACGCTATTCCGTAATATTTCAAGAGGGGGCATATACTTATCGAATTTAGAAAAAAAGAATAATAAAAGGGGAAAACGAGGGGAAAAAAACGTTCAGACATAACTTCAGTAAAAAGCTAAAAAGTAGATAAAAATGAAAAGTCTCTGACCTGGAAACCACCTGATGCCACCACATATTGGGAATATAAACAATGTCTCCTTCTTCAACATTCGCCAGCTGATACCTCACATTCTTAACCCTTGGGAACTTTTCCATGTCTACAGACTGAGGATCGATATCCGAAACACCTAAAACAAGTGAATCATCAGCATAAAGATAGTTAGAATACTCCGGTGAGACGAGAATTACTGATTTGTGTCCATGAATGACACACAAAAGGTTTTCATCAGTGTCAATGTGAATCCTTGAAGAAGTTCCTCCATTACTCATCCAAAAATACGACACAAAGAAGTACGAACTTATCTCTTCACAGCGTAAGGCAAGAGGGAGGATGACATCTTTTCTCATGTCGGGATAAACTTCGTCGACTAAGTATCGGTTGACTTTTTGGTAGGAGTCGAGAAATTCAGAGAGTTTCATTCCAGGAGGAATGTTCTGTTTGTCGTCATTTTTTGTTTCCATGAGAAAGGAGACGTTCCCATATGTTTTGTTCAGGTACTCGTCTGTCCATTTTGTATAGGCTGGCCAATGCTTTACAGAACCTAAAGCATTAAATTCCCAAAATAAAACTGTTAAAATACTAAGAATGTAGCAATGTAGAGCTGTGACTCCAGCTTTTTGGATGGATGGATGGATGGATGGATGGATGGATGGATGGATTTACGACATAGGCAACGGAAAGCTCATACCTTTGGCTAAATTCCCAAAATAAAACTGTTAAAATACTAAGAATGTAGCAATGTAGAGCTGTGACTCCAGCTTTTTGGATGGATGGATGGATGGATGGATGGATGGATGGATGGATGGATGGATGGGATGCATGGGATGGGATGGATGGATGGATGGATGGATGGATAAAAAATAAATGGACAATATTACTCAATATAATGAAAAATGATAAAATAACAATAAAAGTAATGGATTTAGGACAATGCAACACAAGAGTTATGAGGCACACACAAAGAGAGAAAAAGAAATGACTTTTTAGCTCATTTTTCAGTGTTGTAAAAAAATTAAAAAAGTCATTTTGCACCTGGAAAACTAAAAAAAGTCCATGTACAGTGTACTTACCTTTCAAAACAACAGGTATATGCTTGACGACATAGTTCATGTAGAAATCTTGAGGAGATATCATGTATTTTAGTTCTTCTACAATCACATCTGGTGGCCGATGTGAACCAAATGGCTTCAAATGACCTCTTCTAAACATTTCGCTTTCATCATCATTCGGCTTATTGCAATGTTCATTGTATTTTTGTGTACATTCAGGCTGTGCTGTTGTATCTTGTTTTTCATCATGAATATCTTCATTATGGATGTCAGCTTGCAATTGCATAGAAGACGGGATAAAACAGACAGATCCAACCATGAGAATATGCAGAATCAGACTTGCAGACTTCATTCCTATGAGGCATAAGTTTAAAACTTCATGAGTCCAATTTTCAAGTCTTTATGCATCACTTAGTTACTCACTTGAGATTATTAATTTTGTAATATAGAGAAAATGATACTGATACTGATACTGAAAATGAAAAATGACAAAAATTATCACCACCCCCCTCCCATAATGACCCCATATGTTGAAGGACAGAAAAACAAAAAAAACAATTGTAACTCCTTTGTAGCATCTGTGATATGTCACATGTTAAATGAAAAAAAAATATTACAAAATCATATTCCCCCCCCCTTTTTTTGGTTCTGCAAATCATTGCCAGTGCACTTCCCTGCAAGATCCCTGGTTGCTAATAAAAACCAATCAATGGTCCAATTTTATTCGGTGTGCACCCTCCCTGTAAAAGTCCTGGTTATGGCCCTGAATCATAAAAGAGTATCTGCATATAGCTCCTATTTCAAAATCCTAGTGTCAGCTTCAGTATGATCACAACAAATGCTAGATCAAGAGACTCACTCAAAATAAAGGTCCAGACACTCAGTAAAGTAAATAACTTAGGTGATCGAGTCTTGCCATGTCATTAAGACTTCTTTGGATTTTCATCACCATTTCTTTGGTGATTGCTGGTTTTGAATCATTCCAAGAGAATGATATAACAAAAGACATTGTGGGCGTGTTTGATAATATAACAAAATAGACTGATGATAAATCTTTTGTTAAATTCATCCAAGATGGCAGCTGTAAAAACCATAAATTCTACATGTGTGAGTCTACTCGTCATATAGTTGAATTATAGATAAGTTATAGTGCTTGGGAATGAGGATATTCCGGGCGAAAGATTCGGAAAAATTAATTTCCGACCTCACTGGGAACTGAACCCACGACCTTCGGAATTGTAATACCGATGCTCTATCAGCTGAGTGGTCCACATATATTCTCATATAGTTGAATGGTGACTTAATCGACTTGCTGGGCATATATATCTACAGCTGGTCTTTTACCATGTAAACACACCCCAATTTAAACACCTCAATTGAACAACAGAAACTTAACTTTAGACAGCTGTTATATTAATGTTTATTCATGCAAAGAGCTCTTCTATCAAGTTAATTTTTTTAATGTCTCAATTTGGAAGATAAATTTAATGGTATTTTTGAGGAAAAATAAAATATCCATTACACCACCACAAGAAAGGGATTTGTAAAATGAACCCCAATTCCCTCTGTGGGTGGGGTATTTGTATTTTCTACTGGAAAAAAAGACAGCCAACTTTTTGAGCTATTATGATAAACTTAACAAATGAATGGATAATTTTTTGTTGCATAAATGTACTAAATTCCAAAATGAATCATACAGATTTGAATAGCTCGGTTAAGCTATTGTTATCTAAATAATTACAAATCAAGAAAAAATTAAACACCTGAAGCTCAGATGCCACACACACTTCTATTAATACAACATCTGGTGTTTTACACCACTTCATTAAGTACTGATTTTCAAAACTTTATAGTGAAGTTTATAAAGCCTCTAGAAATATCATTTAAAAAAAAGAATTTTCTTTTACTTCTACTTGTCTGATCTCATAACTGTGTATAAACCTAAAAGAACTCTCCGCTCATCCAAGGAACTGCTTCTTGTTACTTGTCCGTACAATCTTAAATCTTATGGTTATCGTTGTTTTTCTGTGTCTGCTCCTGT